AGCAGCCCCAGCCGAGGTCTGCTGGGCGATGACGTTCCTTCAGCTGTCATTTGTCAGAACACACTCATGTAATGTTAATGAACAATGTGCAAAGCCATTAAAAACTCAATTACAGCTTTCTTTTTTACTGCAGACGTGAGGGAACGCAATCATAAAGTGCTGATGTGTAAACACAATGGCCACCATCTGCTACAGAGCAGCGCTTCAGCTCCAGAAAGACGGGATGTGTTGCAGATGCATCAATAATAGGACGCTTATCAAGGCATCATTATGCACCAAGCAGGGGAAAAATTGAAATTTATGGCCAGCTAGAGAGCACTTCATGGTTTAATCCCCCAATTTTCAGTGGTATGTTTAATAACTAGGAGAGAGTGGCGTTTTATGTTGCTGCCGTTGGAGCGGAATTTTGAAAATGAATTTATTTACCCTCTTCCCGTCCTCCTTCCTTCTGACTGATCTGGGCATAACGCGTTCATTTTTAGTTATTCAGGGTAAAACCAGCAAGATATTAATTAATCTAACTTGTTGATCCGGGAGCACCGAGTTTAATTGACCTGATATTCAATTTGTTTTAATGAGCTTATGCTTCTGTATCAAATAAACATAGAAAATAACTTTTACACAGCGTGGATAAGCTTTTCCCCCCCCCCAAACTAATTTTTTCAGTTCAGTGTTGACTTTGACATTTGAACTTTTCTGGATGGAAGTAAACAAAACAGTGAGGCTAAATGATATTTTTGTTTCTTCCATTACTATTTTTCCCAGTTGGATATGCAAAGCTCTGAAATAAGAGTTTCTCCAAGATACCTTTTGTTTTATTCAGATTCTTGCCTGGAGACATTTAGGAGGCTTTCAGTCATCTGTTGATCAATAATTTCCCTTTGTGACATATTAATTCATTCCCCAGTTCTTTGTATAAGTGGAGAATGTGAAAAGTGACTTGTTGGTGCCAGGCCAGATTGTATCTCTTTTATTTGCACGTACAGGCCTATAAATTGGGAATAAGTCCCATCAGCTTGAATTCTGTGCTCAGCCTAAAGAAGGCTGTCAGATTCTGAATCACAATATGTCAGTTTTTATTAAGGATAATAAGGAAAACCACAGTTGTCTTTAAAAGGCCAGTTTAGTTTGGTTTGGTTTTATTTTTTTCCTATTGGGAACTATTTTTATGATCTCTCACCTGCCCCTAAGTGGTGGATCCTGCCCAGACAAGCTCCGCTGGACATGGATGTTTTTAGTAGGATAGTGGATCTTGGAGCATGCAGAGCAACTTTGTGAATGTCCCAGAGGAGAGGATACCTGCTCAGGTTCGCTCTGTGACAAGAAAAATGAAAATGTGCATGTTTGGAGGCCGATTTACAGGGTATAATTTATTCACAGCTGAATTTTCTAGATCAGCACATCCTTGCACCCACTATCAATGACTGTCCTGATGGAACTCTGAGTTTCCATCCCCAGCATGGCCAGGCTGGAGGTGGCTCTGTGAGACCCTCTGGTTTGGGCCATGCCTGGACTAACCATGGGAAGGGTTTGTGGTAGGAGCTGCCACACCAAGTCCCTGCAGAAACAAGGCCTGTGGTACAGTCAGTAGATGACAAACTCATTTAAACCCAGAGTGAGTACTTTCCTGTGACAGACACGGTACTATAAGTGGAAATTTTTCATCTTTTCCACTGTCATATAAAATCATGCCTCTTTTCAGGACTTTTCTTGAGGCAGTTATGTTTCTTATACTGTTTCCTCCTGTGTCTCTAGAAGTGTTGCATTAAAAAAATCATATGCTATAAATAGGAAGCTGTGAATAATTTGCCCGTGACCATTGTTTGTAAGGCTATTTTTTAGGAACTAATTATTTTACTAAGTGCTTTTTGGTGCATGAGTACTTTACTTGCTGGTGTTGTCAGTGCTGGATTCAGGCTCCACACTCTCCCCAGAATTGTCAGCAGCTGCACAAAAGGCTGTTGTCACTGCTAAGAGATTGTGATTCATTTTTTGTGGGTGGCGAAAAATAAAATTGTAATTATTGCTTGGAACTTTTTATAAAAGCTGATGTTTTTTTTTCTCCCAGAGGAAAGCTCGTTATTTTTATATATGAACCTGTAAAAGTGAAACACTGCCTAACTTTTTCTGTCATTGCAACACTTACCTCCCCCTGTGCAGCTCAGGGCTATATTGTGATAAACAGTGCAGGTTCTGAGTAGCTCTTTAGGGTAGGATAATCTACATATTATCCAAATTAAAAAGAGTTGAGAAAGATGCCCAGAAGTGGAATGCTGTGCCACAGGATCCAGTCAATTATGGTGTAAAAACCCATTTTTCTGGGTTCCTGTCCACTGTAGGAGGCACTTGGTCAGAAACCTTGTGGATGCTGTGCCCCTCTTGGCCATGCTACCCTTCCTCAGCAGTTTTTACAGGCTTTTCTCCCAAATTCCCTGGAGAAAAGTGGTTCTTGCAGCTTCTCCTGCTTTATTTTTAAGGGAAGATGAGACAGGCCATGTATTGACAGAGATTATGGAATCCTGGAATGGTTTGGGTTGGAAAGGACCTTAAAATCATCTTGTTCCAGCCCCTGCCATGGGCAGGGACACCTTCCACTAGCCCAGGTTGCTTCAAGCCCCGTCCAGCCTGGCCTTGGACACTTTCAGGGATGGGGCAGCCACAGCTTCTCTGGGCAACCTGTGCCAGGGCCTCCCCACCCTCACAGGGAAGAATTTCTCCCTGATATCCAATCTAAACCAACCCTCCTTCAGCTTAAAGCCATTCCCCTTGTCCTGTCCCTCCATCCCTTGTCCCAAGTCCCTCTCCAGCTCTCCTGGAGCCCCTTTAGACACTGGCAGCATCTCTCAGGTCTCCCTGGAACCTTCTCTTCTCCAGGTGAGCACCCCCAGCTCTCCCAGCCTGGCTCCAGAGCTGAGGGGCTCCAGCCCTCGTGGAAGTGTCACCATCAGACTTTTACAAACCTGGTTGTTCCAGGTTTCCACCCTGTTGCCTCTCCAAGCCCATTGGCAGTTGTGCTTTTTGATAATTTATTGTCTCAGGTCATAGAAACAGAACTCAAATTTCAGTGTCTTAAAAGTTTAGTTTATTTGGGTAGATTTTTAAGAATAGTCTGTGTGTGGTACGTGCTGAAGAAGAGGATTTTGTGGTGAACTGGTAGCAGAATTACACCGGCCTTGGACATTTGTCAGGATCCTGATTATTGGAGAGAAACTCTAATTGAAAAGTTTGGAGTCAGCTCTTACATTTCTCAAAAAGTATGAACCTGGAATTTCTTGATTTGGGTCCATTTTGGTTTTCAGCACATCAAAATGAAGGACAGGATTGCCAGAGACCATCTTGCCTATAAATTTTCCTGTTTCTTGTAGAGCCTCTTCCCCAGCTGTGCTTATTGTACTCGAATTTTCCAAGGTCTTTAGAGTGTATGATTTTTTCTTTTTCTTTTTTTTAAAGATCGACTTCCTTCTGCATCTGTACTTGTCAGTCCTTTACAAAATGCACAGATATCATATAAACGCAGGGGAAAAAAACATTTTTTTTGTGAGAGAAAGTTGCTCATACCTGTTATAAATTTAAAATATGTGACTGCTCACTGCACAGAATTGATCCAAATGTTTGTGTGGTCACCCTGCTACGATGGGGAATAGGGAAAGTCAAAAGGTCAGAAGTGAGACAGGACTTTTCAAGCTCAGTCTTCTGAGCATTGTACATTTGTAGCATTGCCTTGGCAGCAGCATCAGAGCTGAGAGTGTCAAGAGGACTGTGCTTGATGAAAAACTCTCATTCCTGGCTGCTGACACACAGAATTCCTCCCCTGTCCCGGTGTCTCAGTGTTTTCTCCGTCTTTTTCTGAGTGTGAGTGTCTGTGCCCACATAAGGGAGATCCTTTAAACAGAATTGAATCAAATAACTCTGATAATGTTCTGCCTTATTGCCAACATTTGTCACCTTGATGCATCTGTGAGGAGATGAGTCGAGGCACGATGTGCTATAAAATAACTGCCTGATGAATCAGAATGCGAGTTCAACATCAAGTGCCGTGGTTAATATGATGCAAGATTCCAGGTGAACAAACTCATAAATTGCCTTACTATATATTCCCCTCCCTAAATTCAGCCTGCCTTCCCTCCTACAAGAATAATTGGCCTGTTGCATTATTACAAGTCGAGATTTTGCTCTCCTGCCAACAAACCTCATTCGTCTGGGCTCTGAAAATTGGGCTTTTCTCAACACAGCCTTCAAAACTTTCAAGAGCCAGGGTTCACAGGCGTAGGTTGGCATGAAGTGGGCAGGGGCATGTGGGCAAATATCAGCTGAGAATTTTGTCTGTTGTTGGAGTTTTCATATTAAATCACAGAATTGTTAAATCTGGAAAAGACTTTTAAAGATCATCAAGTCCCAGTAACACCTCCATGTTCACCACTAAACCGTGTCCTCATGTGTCATGTCTACACATTTTTTGAACACTTCCAGAGGTGGGACTCCACCACTTCCTTGGACAGTCCATTCCAGTGCTTTACAAGCCTTTCCATGAAGAAATTTTATCTAATATCCAATCTAAGCCTCCTCTGGTGCAACTTGAGGCCATTTCCTCTCATCTTGTCACTTGTCACCTTGTATTAAATATGCCTTTCAGGGGCTGTGTGCAGTAGGAGAACCTTGTTGCTGCTTGAAGGGGGAATGGGCTTTTGTTTGAAGTGACTGTTTTATCACAAGATGCTAAAATAACACAAGCTAAACGGTACTTTTATTTTGATTTTTTAAGTTACCCAACTAAAGTGGTTCTAGTTGGCCCTGAATCCACTGGTGTATGTACCCTGCAATTTTAATATCCTTTCATTCTGTTACCTAACAACGTGCATCAAATAGCTGGTTTGAGTTCTTCAGATGAATGTTGTGGTTTTGTGGCTTCTGAGGGAATCGCTGAGTGTAAAAACGGAGCTGTTTACACTGAAAAAGCCAAGCAAACCCACTTTCTCTCCTCCTTTGGCTCTCCCCCATAGGCTCCTTCATGATGGTGAACAGCTCTGGGCGAGCATCAGGGCAGAAAGCCCACCTGCTGCTGCCCACCCTGAAGGAGAACGACACCCACTGCATCGACTTCCACTATTACCTGTCCAGCAGAGACCGTTCCAGCCCCGGCTCCCTCAACGTCTACGTGAAGGTGAACGGGGGCCCCCAGGGCAATCCCATCTGGAATGTCTCGGGAGTCGTGACAGAGGGATGGGTGAAGGCAGAGCTGGCCATCAGCACCTTCTGGCCACATTTTTATCAGGTACGTGTCTGTCGTGTTTTTCTCTCCCTTTCCTTTGAACAGCCGTTGTTAGCAAGAGGTGTTTTGTAAATCAACTCTCGGCTTTTTCCCATCCAAATAAATTCATGTATAGTGGTTATATCTTGACATGTTTCTTCCCACTTCACCCTTTCTCTTTAGTTGTTGTCAGGTCACAGAGTGATGGATGAGAGTCAGATTATTAACAAGTTAAAAGCCCCTTTTCATGATAGAATGGGCACATAAACCAACTTGTATTGGCACTTCCCATGGCCCTGTGTAACTGCAAATACAACTGAGTTTCTAGATGTGTAACTGTACTTTACATAAATTTGCCTAAACTATTTTTGGCCCTTGGTTGGTTCCATAAGAAGGAATATTTCTTCACTCAGCTTTACATCTGGACTTTTCCTGTGTCCATATGAGGGGGTAGCATAATAAGCTACTAATAAAATCTTGTACCATGGTATCAACATAAGTGTGTTCTTCACCAGATCCTCAGTTCCTCTTCTTTTTAGCATTTCTTGTAACATAGTTTTATTTATTCTGTTAAAATTTTATTTTTAAACCAAGCATGAAGTAGAGGAATGCAATGAATAAGTTGGTTTTCTGGTTATATTAATTTTATATCTGCTTGTTAGTTGCCCACTTCAAACTTCATGTGGCAACTTAGCAGCCATTGTTTTAATTTTAGTTAGATAAATTTGGACACAGTGGACTCATGTACTTCTTGTTAAGTGTTAGAGGAGTATTTTTGTGTTGTTTTATATTCAAGACACACAAAAGAAAAAAAGCCTGGCAGGTAATTGCATCCTAAACCTTGCAGGAAATTTGATGTACATATGATACTAATAAAAGACATGAGTGAGGTAGGAATTAAGACAGAACAAACTATGAAAAGGCAGCAAATAGTCTGTGGGTAGAAAACAGCAGGTAGAAAAGCCTCTTTTTTTTTTTTGCTTCTAATAACTGGGTAGGAGGTCTGTAAAATCTGAGCTGAAGCAGAAGGGCTTTAATGTTCTGAAAGAGTCGTGGATATGGGCAGAATCCATGAGAGGAGGGGATAAAGAGATGCAAATGTGTGCAGAGTGGTGTTTTAAGGGCAGGGCACAACTTGTCCCTGTTCTGAAGGCTCACACTGAAGTGCTTCTGCTCCATCTGAATTAACGGGAACCTGCTCCTGCACCAGAATTTGCTTCCTCGGAGCTGCTCCCTAGAGATGACAGGAATGATCTTTCACCCGTGTAATCAGTGCTTGAAAAACCTGGAGAAGCCAGTCTGATCTCGCACTAAGAGGGATCCTGCTCTCAGATATATCAGTAGTAGGCTTCCTGAGCCTCACTTAGGTCTTTTACAAGTCCTTTTGCAGGTCAAGTTTGCTTTTCCTGGGTAAAAAAAATCCTTTAAATCAAACAAGACTTTTCCACTGCAGCGCAGAAATGAACAGTTTGGAAGGCAGCAGTAACTGCCCGGGAGTAGCTCCTTCCTGGAAAATGCAAGGGGCTTCTTTTTTACTTTTTGGTGAGTCAGAGTGATGTTTCCTTCTATTTATACTTATATTATTATTCCTTAAGTGTGGCTTTTACAATGTGAGATCTGTCCCTCTATTCTGGGGGTCTAGGAGACTGATCTGTCTTCAGTCTCTGATTTTATAAACTGTCTTGCTGATGGTCTGCAGTCCTGTGAGCTTCTGCGTTTAATCGAGGTTTAAAAAAAATATAAAAATAAAGAAAACAGAGAACTTTAAGCTTGCAAAAACGAAGAGGAAAAATTATCAGTATTTGGCAGCCTGAAGTAGCACTTCTTGCTAAAGGAGTCCAGAGGTGGCAGGACAACAAAAGCTTGGGTGTGTGTTGCTGTCTGAGGAGTGTCTCCTTTCACACTCAGGGTCTGGGATGTGCCACTGGAGTGTTATTTAATAAAATCCCAGGATGGTTTGTATTGGAAGGGACCTCAAAGGTCATCTAATTCCATGTAGAATTCCCATAGAATTGTTTGGGTTGGAAGGGAACCTTGAAGATCATCTCAATCCACCCCCTGCCCTGGGCAGGGACACCTTCCACTAGCCCAGGTTGCTCCAAGCCCCGTCCAACCTGGCCTTGGACACTTCCAGGGATCCAGGGGCAGCCACAGCTTCTCTGGGCAACCTGTGCCAGGGCCTCCCCACCCTCACATTTGCCATTTATCTGTCAGCTTCCAATGAAAATTGCAGTCCTGGAGAACTCTTTGTCTGCAAGAGGCCTGAGAGCATGTTCTGTGTTTTGAAAGCACTGAGTAACGTGGGAAAAAACAGCATTTATCCTAAATATTGAAGTGTGCATCAGGCAAAATGTGGATTATACTCTTAATGCACAGACACCTCACCATCCTGAATTGTGATGTGCATCAAAAATTCAGTCAGGAAAAGAATCCTGGAGCTCTCTGCCCTGGCTCTGGAGCTTCGACGAGTACTTGGAGCTTTGGAGATGGGACTGGTGGAAAACTTATCCAAACCATTTGCCAGGGGTCATGTTTTAGGTCTGGCAGTTCTTTGCAAGGGTCACAGGAGTCATCTGGCTGCAGAAACACTCTGCTGAGACAGAAACGTAGGGCTGGTGGAGATTTATCATGCCTGCCCTAGAGTTACTTGCACTTGGATTCCCAGCCTGCAAATGGTTTTAGTGGAACGAGAAAAAGCTGTTAATAGTTCCTGGAGAAAGGTAATACTTGTAATCTTGAATTACTGCTCGCCACGAGGATGAACTCAGTCCCAGAATGCACCAAGGGCAGCACTAGAGCCTGGCAGGAAGGTGTTTTTTTTGATGTATAGCAAGGAGTGTTATTGATCCAGGCCTGGAGAAAACTGTTGTACCACAGCAGATGAGCTGCTAAGGCAGACATTGTGGGTAAATCACAGCCCTGAAATGTGGGGCTGTTTATTGGTAAGGAAACATGAAATGGCTTTGTATTTGCAGTTCTCAGGAGCATTTAAGGATGTTTTTTTAAGAGTGAAGCTTGGTATTTTGTCATCTTTATTAATTTCTGAGAAGTTCCTTAAATGCAAGGCGTTGTTAAATGTCTGTCTCAGCCATTCTGCTGCATTTCCAAATGAATTTAAAAGGACATGAGCGATACTCAGTGTGAAATTTGCAGGAATGGGCCCCATAAACATTTATTCCTGCCTTTTCCTCATGTTGGGTCTCAGTTCCCTGTTTTTAGGAATGCCTGGATGCTTCCAGGCTTCTCACTTTGATAGAGATGCTGCAAAACATAGAAAAAACCAACAGTGTGGAAGTTTGAACTGGGAAATAACAAGAATATCCGAGTGTAACACAGAACAGAGAATAAAATAGTCAAACAATATTGCTCAAATTCAGAGCAATCCTCTCCTCAGTGGATTTTGCACCAGTGTACATGGATTTTTTAGAGGTTGACTGTTGTTACAGGATTAAATTACACTGTGCTGTATTAAAGACTTTGTACATATTGGGAATTTATCAAAGACAATTCTCTGTGTATCAGTGCCTACTCTTGCCACACACTAACAGCTGATGCCAATGCCTTGGAGTAGTTTTCTTCCCAAGTTCTTGCAGGAAGTTGAAAATCAGTTTATTGTGGCTTTTGGCTTCTCACAAATGCAAAACTAGAATAAGATTTTGTAGCTCTAACGTTGCCCTTTAATTCAAGCCTGAAGGGAGTTGCAGCAGTGCCTTGCGTGACCTTCCCAGTGAGTGTAATTTTTATCAGGAATGACATTTAATTTCTGAAGTAATTATGATTTCCATACTAAGGGCTCCTGTTTCACACTGTTATTTTATATGGTCCCTAAAAAGCCTATCAAGGACCTTGATAACACAAAACACTTGTTGACAGATTCTATCTTCCAGAGACTTGCTGCTTCCCAGGGCTCCCTGGACAACCAGTCTCCTCGTTGTCCAGTCTCCTCTGGAGCAGAACTTTGTTTCTACAGATTGTTAACACTTGAACTTTTCTTGCTTTGTATCTTTGCCAGTTCATTTTTGTGTTCTACCTGTTTTTATCATGTTGTGTGGTTGGGTTTTTTTTATCCTGAATGTATTTCAGGAGATCTCACATCTGGCTGTGTTTTGAATCAGGGGAGCAGATCTTAGTCATGAAAACATGAGTAGGAATTATGCTCTGGAAATTAGTAACAGCAATTCTGCACTTAGGAAGGACATAGTGGTCTATATTCAGAGCCAGGGCTTGCAGTGAGCAGCATTTCAGCAGTTGAACCTCTTACTGTATTAAATCTTCTGATTAAGGAGATGAAGAAGCAGCTGAACAGTGACAGACTGGAAATGCCATCTTTTATTTAAAATGAAAATAAGTGTTGAAAACTGGTTTTAAATAGATAACTTTGTGTTCTGGTAGTGAATTTTGGAAGTTACAAATTACTGAAATCCTTCCTCCTCTGGAACAAGGAGCTGCACTAGAACACTGCTGTAATGGCAGTAGCTGTGCCAGCTGAATGTGTTAATTAACTCTGCCCTTGAAAACCTTATACTTGTGCAAAAATGAGCAGTTCAGTACAGTGTGAACATTGCTTCAATAAGATGGAATGAAACTGGGGATATCCCTTTCCAATGCAGGGACAGAATCCATTACACCTCCACCCATTCAGGGTTTTAATGTGGTAAAGGATAGCACTTCATTCCTTGGGGAAGAGAATCGCTAATTTGAGGGATAATCAGCCTGCAATTTTCTTTTTTCTGTTGCAGTTTAACATTTCTAAGCTTCCCATTCCTTACAGAGTCATAGCATGATCCAAATTGGAAGGGATCCATAAGGATCATGGAGCCCAACTCCCTGCTCCTTGCTGGACTACCAAAAACCCAACCTGAGAGTGTCCTTCAGATGTTCCATGAGCTCTGACAGGCTTGGTGCTGTGACCACTTCCATGGGGAGCCTGTTCCAGGGACAGACCCCCCTCCCAGAGAAGGACCTTTTCCTGATGGCCAGCCTGACCTTGCCCTGACTCAGCTTTGTTCCATTTCCCTGTATCCTGTCACTGGTCACCAGAGCGAGATCAGCACCTTCCCCTCCACTGCCTCCCTGGAGGAGGTCAGCAATTAAATTAATTTTAATGATCTCTTTATCAGTTTTTTAGCTTGGTTGTTTTGTTGGGTTTTTTCCCTGCACTCCTGTATATTTTTAGTAACAGGATACTTCAGGGCAGCTTTCCAGGTAAAAATCACGAACCAATAGGGCGGAATGGTATTTTTGTTGATCTGTGATTGAATATCTGTCTTTTCAGACCCAAATTAGTGGAATGCCTTCATTATCCTGATAATAAATAAATAAATAGGGAAAAAAATGCTAGTTAGTGTACCATTAATGTAGTGAAATGCTACACGTGGTTTTTAAGAATATTCCTTCTCAGATCATGATATTCAATCCAGAGTAAGGCAGAAACAACTTATTATATTTGGGTGAATCTTATTTCAGTCCAGTAACTGGAATCCAGTGTCGTCCTTTGCTCATAATTTGCTTTCTAACCTTTCAAGGGCCTGCATGTCCAATCAAGATTTTCCCCAAGAGAATCCAGGCACAGTTACTGATTCAGTAAGAGAATTCTGTTCATGTACAGCTTTCTCCATTTTTTCCAAGAACAAGATGTCAAGTGATTATTCACTAATGTTCTTAGACCGGTGCTTAAAGTGAATATAGGTGTGTGTATGTACACAGGGTACCTTTTGCTTTTCCAAATCAGAGACACACACAGTTATCTCTAATCCTGATGAGTGCTGCTCTAAATTTTTGTTTTCCACACCAAACAGATTTGCATTGTATGTACAGACTGAACTGCCCTGGTATCCCTTTGTTGTTAATGATTAAATGCCTTGAGTGACTCAGACACTGGAATAAGAGCAGAATATGGTGAAATGATTAATGTAGGTGTTCTTTTTAAGAAATTTTTTCCTTTCTTTTGTGTTTCAGGTGATCTTTGAGTCGGTGTCTTTGAAGGGACACCCCGGGTACATCGCAGTGGATGAAGTCAGAGTTCTCGCCCATCCATGCAGTGAGCACTCCTTGTTTTTCTGACTGTATTGATGTGTTATATGCCAGGCTTTGCAGTCTGAAGGAGTGATTTACTCCACTGGGTCAGCACTAAAATGTCTTATATCCCCTCCAAGACCCCTAAAGACACTCAGACTTGCATAATTACCCAACTATGCTTTGCTGTGCAAACGTCTCTCAGTCCCCCGCTAGAGCCAGGACTTCTGTGGAATTCTCTCTTCCTGTCATGTTATGAACACATAAAACTAGTGGTTTTATTATTTTTGAATCACATTGCTGCAGAAAACAATCTAAAAAAAAGGTTCTCATAATGACCTGTGTGAGGTTGACTTAAGAAAAGAACCACCAGATTGTTTCAGTGTTTCTTTGGCAAAGGGCCTGTCCCAAAGGTCAGTCTCTCTCAACAAATGTTAAACCCAATCCGCACCCCCTGTAAAGATATTAAAATAAATCTTATTCAGAGAGTGGACTTGCACAGGAGTAGAAACTAATGTGGGTTCATTAAGTTGTTCATAAATGTTGGTGCTGTGTTTCTTCTATTGCAGCTGCAACAATAAGTTTCAATTTATTTAGTTATTTGTAACATTTAAAGAAGTCTTGAGCCCTTGTCTTTGAATCTGAACTTGTTTGGTTTCTTTATGCACCTACAGTGTGGCTTGAGGACTTTGCCTATATTATGTATATAATATACAGTTTATTGTAAAGATGTTTTATTTACAGCCCCTCTCACTGGCTCATGGTTTCAGTAAACCAGTGACAGCTGCTCACAAAAACAAAACATGTTGATGGAGTGAAATCAAGTGGTTTTCCTGCAATCAGAATGTCAAAGAACAGCTGCCATTCAATGTGACAGACATGGTTCTGCTCAAGTTTAACAGGACATTTCTGATAACTGCAGGATGGTTAATTGCTGTTTAAGTAAATTATATTTGTATTTACCATGTGCTCGCTTTTGGGTGCATTTACTTCATTAAGAAATACTTACAGTCTGTATTAATCAGATGTTGCTGATAACTGGCAGCATCCAGGCAAATCCCCAAATGGTCTGTGTGCCTTCACAGCCTGCTGGGTGATGGCTGGTCCCTTCACTGGGAAAGAGGCCACTGAACAAACTGTGGGGCAAAGCCTCAACAAGAAAATTAGGGGATTTTAAAAAGTTAGGCAGGATGCTGTGTTACACTTCATTAAGTAAACTGATTTTGAATGATCCATTTCTCCAAGTATATTCAGGTCCTTCTTCAAATATGAGGGCATTTTTGCAGATTTAACACCAAAATTATTCAAAAAGGGTTGTTTTGTTTGGTTTTTTTAATCCTTTTGCAACCTGCAGCACACAGAGGTCATTACAAGCTGCGAGTTCTCTGCAGTCCCTGTAAATGCTTCTCCTCTTGTATTCCCAGCGTTGCTTTAGTTGTTCAGCAGTGACAGTCACCAGGGTAAATGTCACCCATTTCCTTGTACAGGCTTTGCCCCTCAGGCTCGTTTTACAGTTGTTATAAATCAAAACACGGGGACCACGAAGCTCCCGATGACCCTGGAGGTCACTGAAATCACTGCTCTTATTTCTTCATCTCTGCTTTACCTTCCCAGGTGACAGTACAGCCCCCAAACCAAGGCATCAGCAGAAACAGGGAAATGCTCCTAATGACACAGTAATGGGGAAAAATAAATATATTGCTGCTGTTGCCTTTTTTCCTCCCTTTGTCCTGTGAAGGGATGCACTGGAATATCCATTTTCACTATACTGAAAGCTCATTGACTCTGTGCATGAGCCCCTGCCATCCCAGGACAGCCCCATGCTCCAGAAGCTGGGCAGACTTCAGGACCAGGATTTTGGGATTGCTGTGACTGCACCCTTGTGTTTGGAGCTGCCTTAGAGCTGCCCACTGCAGACTGCTGGCAGAAATTCCTAAAATTAGCCTGAGAATACCCTGTAGAACGTTCTGACTGTCACCCAGAGGTAGTTTCCCAGTAAACCTTGATGCATATTCCCAGTGCCAAGAAAGCAGGATGGTAGAGAGTCACTGTCCTTCAGGGGCTGTCAGCAAACTGAGTGTGTGGTGAGGGGGACATAGAGATAGATAAAAATATTTGACATGATGTATAGACATGTGTTCTCTGTTCATGTGTCTGCAGTACACAAATATTTGTATGTCAAGCTTCATGCGCAGCCACAGATAGCCACATTCTTTTCAGGCTCTTGGATCCCAAGAGAAGGAGGCAGGTTGGAATATCCTCTGAAATTATGGATTTCATCAGTGTCTAATCACACTACAAAATGTAAAGATGAAGTTGAAAAACTCTGACCTTTACAGGCTTGCAGGGCTATTCAGTGTGTCCTACTAAAAGTTTTCCAATGGTGCACAAACCTTCTGAAGCCTGGCAAGAACTATGGTCACTTAAAGGTGTCACTGCTGTAATCTTGTTTATGATTTTGTAATTTAAATTAGAGATATAACCGAGTCTGGTATTTAGTCAAAAAGATAATCCTCTGATCTAGTTCCTTTGTGAACAAATTGCATGTCTGCATTTTAATATCACTGTTTTAATTTTGAACTAACGCTGAATTTAGTAACAACAAAACACCGATATCAGTGATCTTCAGCTAAACCAGTGATACAATGCTGTCAGTTATATGAATATTTCATTTCATATCTGATTTGATATTAATGATGCATTATTCTAAAGGTCTAGGACGTATTTGATAGTCAATAAAATAAAAAGGATAAAAGACCCCTGTGAAAATGCGGTTTGGGTCAGTCACGCTTGACAAGCACAGAAGCGTTTGATTTTTCTTTGACCTTTTTAGAAACACAGTTTTCTGAAGAAAAGAAATGACTCAATCACTCTTTATAGCAAGCAATAAGAAATTGTGCCAATGACCATGAACTTGTGATTTGATCCAAATCTGTGTTTTTTAGATGTGTCAGGGCTCCCTAAGATCCCTTAGGCCATCCTCCCTCAGATCCATCACCCACCTCTCTCCGCAGGGAACAGTTAAACACTGAAGGACAGATTGATTTTTGCAAAAACACGTTGTCAAGGACAGCCCTGATGCCTTGCTGAGTGTTTCCCTCTGGGGTGGTGTAACACAGTCAGTCACTGCCTTGCTCTACCCTTGCAATACTTTGCCTCTTTTGTCAGGAAAAGCCCCTCATTTCCTGCGGCTCCAGAACGTGGAGGTGAACGTGGGACAGAACGCGACGTTCCAGTGCATTGCTGGGGGGAAATGGTCCCAGCACGACAAGCTCTGGCTCCAGGTAAAGTAATGACCTCTTTTGGAGTGTTTTTTCCTCTCTGGTTTGGTTTGATTTTATTGTTTTTTGCAGGTAAAATGAATAGGTAGAGAAAGACCGGGTGGTGGGGCAACATCTTTTCATTGAGACCCTTTGAGAACTGCCTTGAATAGTTTCTGGGTGAGAGTTTAAGGTGACAAAGTGCAGAGTCATGATACTGAAAATGGAAAAAATGGCCAATGACAGCAAAATTCTGGTTTCAGACAAATGCCCATGTACCTGTAAACACTCAGTCATAAAGCAGAGGAGACAGAACAAGTTGAATAGTTCTTCCCTTCTTGGTATGCAATCAGCTTTCCTCTCACTCTCCAGAAAGGTTCTTAGCCTGGAGTCAGTGACAATATGGTAAGTGGAAAACCTGCTTTAAGGTCCGGGATGACTTACCCGGATAGTGAAAACAAGCAAACCGAGTTTGTACCCACTGTGTTTCTTGTTCCCAGTTTCCCTTGGCTGTGTTAACAGCAGATTATTTTAGTCACTCACTAAACGACCAAAACATTCCCCCTCTGGGTGTCTTATTTTCAACCTACTGGTTGGACTTGAAAGTCTGGGTCCTGCTCTTCATGTGGGTGCAGTAACACCCTTGAGAATTCATTTTCAGAGTTAGAAATGGAACATCCATCAACACGGGGAGCATCTTTCCCAGTGAAGGACAAAATTGTTTCTCCTGCCCTTGGAAGTGCTCTGATATGAGGACTCCTGGCATTACCATTCCAGAAGTTTTTAAAATAGTTGAATTCTTAAATGCTTAATATGCCAAACAAGTCAAGAGGATTCTCTGGCTGTATGTTGGACCAACATAAACTTTCAGAACACTTAAACCAGTTAAGAGGTTTTATTCTCAGCTTGGGCAGATGGGACTGAGGGTCTGATCACCCCATGTTTGTAACATCTGAGGCAGAGAGGAAGGGCCTTTGCAGTCAAATAGTTAACAGATTTTGTCAAACCTTAAAATTGACTTCAGACATTTTAATAAATTTTAAAAATAGCGTTTTCAAATTTAGTTTAAATAGAGGAATTGGTTTACCTAATCACAAAAATTAAAATTAGTACAGGGGAAAAGGCTTAAGTTGGTGAGAAATGTAGTTGGCATTATGTAAAAATGATATTACAGTCAGTAACTGTGCTCTCATCACAGCTGTTCTACTAAAAATCACATTTTCAGCTGAAATTTCTTTACCTAGTGTGTACTTCTAACATTCATGGAGCCACATTTTTGGCTTTTTTTTTTTTTTTTTAAGTTCTTTCAGTGAAATCTTTCCTCAGCTATGATTAGATGTGTGCAAAAACAGTTCTGACCTGGAACAGTATAAATCTTTCCCTTTGAGAAGCAGAGTTTTGGAAAGAAATCGTTATTGTTGTTAATGGAAACCTGTTTTCCATTCTCCAAAACTGAAACATTTAATGAAAATAACCTTGGAAACATCCCCAAAACCTCATTACTGGAAACCAGCAAAACAGCAGTGTGCTTTCCTTTGAAATTCCCTATAAACCAGACCAATGAGCAAGTTGACATATTTATGCTGTGGAGAACTATTCCTAGCTAATTCTTCATCTGTCCCTTTTCCAATTGGAAAAGTGTAGTCTGGCATTGGTAGAGAGGTTTATTGAGGAATATTGGACATATAAGGGTGTGTGCTCATCCAGCCAATTTATTTAAATTGGTCCAGAATCAAAGTTTTACATCTGAAAATGCCAAGTTTGTAGAATCTGTTCGTTTGTAGCATTTTCCCAGGTGTACACAAAGCCTTCAGTTGTTGTGTTTTCATATCCAAGCTGGGGCTCTAATTACACTGTGTGGAATTGCACAGTCAGAGCTGTCACTCTCCAGCCTTTGGAGTCATTAATCACAGAGTCACAGAATATCCTGAGTTGGAAGACACCCACAGGGATCATCCAGTCCAGCTCCTGGCCCTGCACAGACACCCCAACAATCCCACCCTGTCCCTCAGAGCGTTGTCCAAACACTCCTGGAGCTCTGGCAGCCTTGGGGCTGTGCCCAAATCCTGGGGAGCCTGGTCAGTGCCAACCACCCTCTGGGGGAAGAACCTTTTCCTGAGATCCCACCTAAACCTTTCCTGGCACAGCTCCAGCCATTCCCTGGGTCCTGTCCCTGCTCACAGGGAGCAGAGATGGGAGCTGTCCTTGGGAGGAAGCTGCAGACCCTGCTCATGTCTGACCTCAGTCTCCTCTTCTCCAGGATGAACAAACAAAATGACCATATGGTTTTCCCTCTAGACCCTTCACCATCTTCATATCCCTAGAACACATCAAATGCCCAAAAATGTTTCAAAAATTAAACAGAAGTGAAAACTTAAATATATCATAGAGTCATAGAATGGTCTGGGTTGGAAGAGGTCTTAGAGATCATCCAAATGGCAGGGACAGCTTCCACTAGCCCAGGTTGCTCCAAGCCCCATCCAGCCTGGCCTTGGACACTCCCAGTGATGGGGCAGCCACAGCTTCTCTGGGCAACCTGTGCCAGGGCCTCCCCACCCTCACATATGGGTAAGAACTTTCAGAATATTCTGTGCTTTTCTCCAGGGCGTTGCTATCAGCCTTCTCTTGAAAAACTCTGCCTGCATAAAATCCCTCCTATCAGCGCGAACACAAAGGTCTGCACAGTGTTAAGCATCACGAATGAAACATGGATGCATAAATGCATAATCTGCCCGTCTTTGTAACCTGGGTTATTTTTCTCTGCCCTTGCAGCAGTGGAATGGAAGGGACACAGCCCTGATGGTCACTCGAGTGGTCAACCACCGGCGTTTCTCGGCCACCGTGAGCGTGGCCGACACGTCCCAGCGCAGCATCAGCAAGTACCGCTGTGTCATCCGCTCCGACGGCGGCTCCGGGGTGTCCAACTATGCAGAGCTGATTGTGAAAGGTAGGTGGCTTTAAAGCAGCGACTTCATGCAAGAAGAGTGTTTCCTCTATATAAAAATTGACATTCTGTTGGACCTTCTTGTTTCGTTCTCATTAAAAGAAGAAAAAAAGGGTCAAAGGGACGTGGATTTGAATCGGTAACTTAAAACAGGTGTTTGAATCTAAACTTTGGACACAGCCCCTCTTTGTAAGCTTTTGTAGCAGTGTATGGTGGCTGTGGAGACCTACTGTAGCCAGCTAGAGTTTGGCTGTCAGTCAGCTTCATTGGCTTTACTTTGCAATATTTTATTGGGCATTAATAACCTTATGATGGAGCATTGCCTGTCAGGAGAGACTGCTTGGGACTGCTGGGAATAAATACTGGGATTGATTCTGCTGACGTCCTGAAATATGGAGTAGAGGCATCAGTAGTTCTTGAGGGATGCTTGGATTTTAGCCCTGTTAATTACTGTGATTCAGGTGCTGAACTTGTGCCTGACACCTGCAAAGTGTGTCTTAATTTCACCTTCCTGAGGCCTGTGCTAAAGTGCTGTTCACTATTCTGCTTTTCTATTTATTTTTAAACTTACCCTGAGTTGCAGCACAGGGATGCTGCATCAGTGACTCTTAGTGGGGAAATCAGAAAGTGGCTGAGTAGTTCCTGAGGTACTTCATGTTTGGGATGGGGGTGATGTGAGGTGGGAGGAGTTTGAATTGTGGGTCTCCTCACAGAGTATAATTTTATTGCTCTGAATGTTTCATTTTTTTTGGAAATGGAGGAAGCTGTAGCAATGAGATCAAGTTGTCCACTGTGCTGCTTTCTGCCAACTGACTGTGTCATTTGATGATCAGTGTGCTGATGCCTTTATAATGCCTTGGAGTGTGGTGGGGTGCAGATGTTCAGACTCCACAGATCATGAAGGAAATGCTCCTTTTGGATGCCAAGTGCTTTTAATTCCCACTTGATGATCTCACATCTTGTTCAAATCTGGAGGAATTAATTCATGACTAAAATGGGATTGAGTTGCCAGGAGTGGCAGAGCTAGGATGGGATCACAGCTAAAGAGAGGGAAGGCAGTTTTCCAGAGCAACCAGGTAGCAGAATATTCCAAGTTCACAGAATATTCTGAGTTGGAAGGGACCCACAAGGATCATGTGAATGGCCCACAGGGGATCAAACCCACAGCCGTGGTGTTGTGAGCACCAGGCTTTAACCAGCTGAGCTGAGCTCAGGGTCTGGAGTAGGTGTCTGGCATTTCCATGTTTGTTGTTATAAGCAGGGAAAAAACAACAGAATAAGTCAAACCCACGGATGGTTGGATGTCCACCAGGAGAGATGTTGGTAGATTCATTGCTGGATTGCTCAGGCAGACACATCCAAGAAGCCTCAGGAGAATCATGTTATGGGAAGGTGCACTCCTGCTCCTCATTCCTGGTTGGGAGGCAGGGAAGGTGAAGTGGCTCATTGGAGGTTGGTGTGGTGCAGCCCTGGGTGCTTCCAGCCAGGCTGACTCATTTTAATGGGAATAACAGGGAATTTGTAATGCATGTGCACAGGCTGAAATGAAAGCAAATTGGAATTGTTTCATTCTGAAGAGGTGTTTATTGAATTGCAATAATGTACTTGAGCATACATTAAATTAGTCTGTAATTGAAGTTTTGCTCAATTAATAGTCTTGCTCCTAAACCTGCTAAATCCAAGCTAATGCTCTGCTTCCCTCCATCAGATGAACATAAAATCATAGAGGATTTCTTCAACAAAGGTTAAGATCTAAAAGTGTATCTATATATCTTTATAATGTAAAACTTCACTTGCTTTCCTGTGCATAAGGTATTTTATTGGAGTATTGATAATGAAAAGTAATTTACATTTCTCAATATTGAATGTTAACATTTGGTAGACACTGAAATAGAGATTTTGCTTTGAAATGCAACCTAAATTGGACAATAAATACCTGTTTCAGCAAATGAATTGATCAATGAAATTAAACACACACCACCTTGCTTGTCTGTGGGCATCTTCCCTGAGAACAAAGTAATTACTGGAAATCTTATACAAAAGAACATTAGTTTCAATTTATTGCAGTATATGTAGTGGCAGGAGTACATCTGTAGTACTGTGAAAATGCAGACAGCTCTTTGCTCTATGTGCTAATGCTTGTCTGTCTTCTGACTGTTGTATAAAAGACAATACATTTATTCTTCTCTTGGCACTCTTGAATCATAATAACCAGGCCAGACAAACCTATAATTCCCATCTGTCCACTTTACCATCCTTTGGTGCTCCAGTGGAAATAGCTCTTCTCTGTTTCTCATCTCTGACTGCTGCATATATAGTAATTTAATACAATTTTGTACAGGGCAGCTAAAAAAAACAACCCAGCAGAGATTCTCTGTCTTACTGGGCTGCTCTCACCTGAAAGGGATGTTTCTTGTCTGGAGTTGTTTTTTAAGTAAAAGCTGTGTGGGAGTTACTGTTTTCTGAGCTAAATGGAGGTTGTGCTTCTGTAAAGATTGTTTAAAACACTGGAAATTGGCTCAAATCTTATCATTTAAGGTGTGTGTTAATGCCAGTGTCCTTCCAGGACACTTGTCACATTATGAAGGTTGTGGATAACATCCTAAACTCTGTGTGTGTGTGTGTATGGAGGATTGTTTGCAGTTGCTCTTTTTCCCTTTCAGATACTCTGGATGCTTAAATTAACTCCTCAGTATATGATGGGAATGGATGAGGAGCTGATAAACAGGGAATATTACATTGTCTGTACCATATTTTTTGTGAGCTGACTTTTCTGAGACTTTCACTTTTCAGGAAGTCCCTCAAATTTATTTTGTTGCTACCTGATGCAAGTACTTTTAAGGCTCCTGGTATTTGAAACTGCTAAACCTAATAAAGGTTTTGTATCAGCCAGTTTTATATTTAAAAAATATGAATTAATGAATATATTGGGCTTCAAAATGGTAAAATGTTAAATTTCATTCCATGTGTAAATGTTTTTAAACTATTTTCTACCCTTTATTTCTATTGTTAAGAAAACAATTTATACTATTTTAAAGAAAACTGATTTGAAAACAAACAAAAAACCCCCTACAAATGTTACAAGCAAAATTTATATTTTCTTGAAAATGTAAAATGCAGTGGTATGAGTGAATAGTTAGTAAAGTTTTAGTTCGCTATGTTTTGCTTTCTTTTTTCATATTATGTAAGAAAGGAGATTTTGAGTGAGAGATGAGAGGGGCTTGTTTGTCGTTTTCCTCACCCAAAGGCAAGTCACTTGTTTGTTTAGCCAAAGAGTTAGTAGGAAAGTTTTTATAGGAACAGGAACAGTGATAGAAAATGACAAAATCTAATTCCACCCAGTTGTTAAGCAGTAAACCATTGTTATTGTGTTTGAGGGGCAACTGCTCTGATCTGCTGCTCCAGGGGTGGGACTGCTCAACAGAGCCCCTCTGCAGACCCCCGAGGGGGTGTTCTAGTTCTCTTCAGTTTTGTCTTAGTTGATTTTCAAAGTGTTTGGTTGAAAAGTGATCTTGTCTCTTGTCTGAGTGGTTTTCTGTCAGCCTTGTGATGTTTGGGACAGCTCATCTTTTATCAGGCTTTTCTCAGTCACACGAGGAGCCTTGAGTGACACCACAGGGAGAGGTGGGTTCTTTGTCAGAGTTGTTTACTGTTCTTTCTCTGGGTCTTTTCTGGTGTGATGCTTGTCACTGTAATTGCACCATCTGTTTATTAACTCACCAGGTACCCAGTGAAAACTGCTCTGGTGATCTGAGTCTGTTCCTAAAAACAGACACCGGAATAAACAATAAAAACCCAAACCACAAAACAACGGAAAACAACACATACACAGGCACTAAATAAACCTAAACAAAACCCCATGTCAAGTTATTGGAGTTAAGATCCTCAAGTGTGAAAAATATGATAAATAATTATATGTTTAAATAAATCTTTAAGCTTCCCCAGTGTTAAATACGCCGTGAAAATTCCAGATTTACAGTTCTAAGGCAGACTCATCAAGGAAAAGCTTTACAGGTGTTTTGTCTATCTCAGTACTTATTACTGGAGCTGAGTCCAGAATAGTTTCAGTTACTTATTAAACAACAGGAAGTCCTATTAGGGGAAAGAACTTTCTGGTCTTAGAAGTAATAAGAAATAAAAACATCTCTATTTTACAGTTGGGCCTGATCTGGGGCTGGAGTTGGTCCTAGAAATGTCACATTGGTTTCCTCGAGTAAAAGAAGTGCAGTGTAGGTATGGAAGTATGTTCAACATGTGCCCTAGAGTGTGTTCTTAGAATGAGAAGATGATTGTCTTCAATGTCATTATTTAGGATGGTCACCAACTCCTAAGTTTTTCACTTCGTATAAAGACATTACAAAGAGAGGTCGTGGATATGAAAAATATTCTTTAAAGTTCTCGTTTGTTGGTTTGTTATTTAAAAAAAATGTATTTTCATGCCTGATGCACAGATAGTTCTGTGCCATGAGATATTCATGCCAAATGTACTAATTAAAACTGACATCACATCCTTGCCATCATTGGGTAATATAACTCCTGTTTCCATGGTGGTGCTCAAGTCCCCACATTTCACTGAGGAGATTGGAGGTGTTGATATGAAAAGCAGATGTTGTGCTGCAACTCTCCTCCATTGCCATCAGGGTGGCTGGAAAACTGAGTCCCCTCCCTCCCTGGAAACCACTGAGGAGATAAGCTCAGCTGTGGAATATGTGCAGTTTGGATTTTACTGTTTAAAAGTTTTTTTCCAGGATGCATTAATACGTAGCTGGAAGGCATGAAAGTTCCTGTCTGAATTTATCAGGCTCGTGGTGATCTGGGTACATTTGACTTCATCTGCCTGAGTTCTGCACATTAATCGAGGTCCTAAAGTTACCACTTTAGGGCAGGGTCAGACCCTGGCTGCTGCTCCCCCAGTGTCAGCAGTGCTGCGACAGTGAGGGTTCCCTCCAGCTGCCTGTTCTCTCTTTCCCTGTTTTTTTCCAATTTACACGAGTACCTTCGTT